TCGAAATTAACGCACTTTGAAAAGAAATATTTTTATTTCAAAGTGCGTTAACTTGGTCCCAAAATTTAACGCACTTTAAAAAAAAATCCAAAGTGCCTAATTTTTAGAAGTGCGTTGTAACAATGCATGTAAAAAGATAACATTGGTCACTTGTGTGTGTGTGGGGGGGGGGGGGGTCAAATTATTGTATTTTACTAGTATAACGAGTGTTTTATTCAAGTTGCTTCAAGACTGTGAATCTTTTGTATTTTTGATTTCGCAATAAACTCTCAGTACCTATTTTTTTTATTTATTTTTATATTTTAATTATTTATCTATTATTACAATTTTGTCACACTGTGAAAAAATATCAAAGTGATATTCTTGACACATTCTGACATCGTTGACAGCTGCTTTTTCAATAAAAATGGAACTCGTACATTTACTTACCTTTTCATTGGTCATTTGCAAAATTACTTTAATAAAAAAATATGATTGTACACACAAGTACTCTTAAGTTGATTGACATTAAAAAGATGCTCGAGTTTATGATTGACAATATCTAAGTGGTTTTTTGGAGACCAGGTCTTCCAACAATCTATTGGAATTCTCATGGGTACCAATTGCGCCCCGTTATTAGCAGACCTATTTTTGTATTCATATGAAGCAGAATTTGTTCAAAATCTTTTATGTGAAAAGAAGAAAACACTTGCTATGGCCTTCAACTCGACATTTAGATATATCGACAACGTATTGTCAATTAACAATGGTTATTTCCATTCTTATGTCGACACGATATATCCCGGTGAGCTTGGGATAAAAGATACAACAGTGTCTGACACATCTGTTTCATATTTGGATATTTTATAAGAAAAAGGCGTTAATGATAATCTAACAACAAAGCTTTATGATAAACGTGATGACTTTAACTTTTCAATCGTCAGCTTACCTTACTTATGAAGCAATATACCCTTATCACCTTCATACGGGTTTATATTTCTCAGATGATTCGATTCACGCCAGAGTATGCTCAACGTATGAACAATTTCTAAACGAGGTAAATTATTGACAAACAAGTTGATGAAACAAGAATATCAGCAATCTCGTTAAAAGTCATCATTTTCTAAGTTCTATGGTCGATACAATGACCTTGTCAGCTGACTAACTTTTTTCATACTTATTGTTAGGCCATTATTTATACACTGAATTATCGACGGATTGTCAGCAAATACAATCTATCATTAAGTCAATTGCTGACTGACTTTTTTCATACTAATTGTTAGGCCATTATTCACACACTGAATTATCGACGGATTTTCCGCTATTTCCTGATCATGACAAGGAGCACACGGTGGGTGTGACCGGTCGGCAGGGGATACTTCTCCATGGCACCTTATGTCACTTCTAATGTCTTAGAAGTCCGTGTTTGCTCTGCTCCTATTTTGTAATCAATGTTTAATGGACTTTTGAGCTCGAATACTGTTCGTTATCTCCACATATTTCATTCAACACATGAATGAACTACTTTTTATATTTCTATGAATAGGATATCTCTCTTGATTCCAATTTTATTATTGAGCTTATTCTTTAAACTCCTTTCGTCTGAATGTAAAAAAATACAAAACTGGAACTACATTTTAATCATTAAGTTATATCCCTTGATCCCTTTCTCTTACGTCCATCATTAAATTACCTTCCTTTGCTGAGCTCTTTTGTCGTCGGTTTCAATTAATATCAATTTTAAACTTGAAAACACTGATCTTAATGAAAAAACATTAAAATGAATGAGATTTGAAAGCAATATAAGGGAATTCAATTGACCATTGACAATGACATAAATACATTTATAGAAGAGTTGGACCAAGAAACTACAGCTACAGGGATCAATTACAACATAATTGTAATTTTTGCTGTTGAGTTCAATCCAGCTGGAGACCAAGTTTCAGTAAAACAGCTTTTCGCTGAGGTTACAATGACATTGTTTTGTCTCTTTTGACTAATGAGAACAGGAACACTAAGTGATATAAATAAATTCTCAAAGTTCTTACAGGCAAAGGGAGAGATCAGGGTTCCTGAAATAATACCCCCATATGGGGTAAATTTGCATATAGCCTCATTCCTTCTCTCAGTCAAATAAGGATGACACAATATATGAACCAACCTTACATTTCAAATATCAATTAATAGATACTTACATCAGAAAGAATTATGGGTATCAGGTATTTAATGACTTGCAGTTCAGCAAAACACAGCTGAAGTCTCATGCAAAAGAGAATAAGTCATAGGATGCTGATGAACTTTCAGATAATGAATTCAGATTATTTTATGAAAAGAATATATATGGACCATATACACCTACCTCCCTTACAAATTCCATGTTACCTTTTTTTCAGTAATCACTTTGTAGTGAGGCCCGGCAAAGAAATTCATGACTTGACTCGGGGAGACATTTAATTAAAATTTGGTGAGGCAGAAAAGCTAGAATACTTCGTTTTCAGTCAGGAAACACAAAATAGAATAAGAAAAGGTGCCAATTTAAGGTATAAGGAAATTACAGGAAGAACCTACATCATTAAGTCAACTGAATGGTCACTGAAAGACCAGGGAAATTCACTGAATGGCACAGCTCTTCCATTCATTCATCTTTCAGTAGACTTTCAGTCAACTGAATGGATGAGATTTATCCTTTGGAAACTAAAACCAAATACTTACTCAACACAGGATAGCCTTGAGAAAGATATACATGTAGTCCATTGACACCAGAGACATTTCTTTTGTTCCAGTAAAAAAATAATATATTCAAGGAGATTCAAAAAGTTACTGGAACAAAAGAAATGTCGCTGGTGTCAATGGACTACATGTATATGGATAAGTGAAGCGAATGAAGTCCTCTAAGGGGATTGAAAGTGACAAGAGATTTATGAAACGTAAGCATTTTTAACGGATGTCGATTTATCTAAGAGTAGATTGTCATTTCATTTTGAAATATTCAAAGTAAAAAAAAAAAAATAATGAAATTAATTTTGAATATGAGATAATTGAAAAAATGAAATAAAATAGATATTTTGGTTTGTTAGTTTTAGAAAGCATCTGGTTCAGGGATTATCAGATGCCGGTTTTCCGACAACTAGATACCCACATATCAGGACTGAAATACATTAATAGGAACAGCAATAACATGTACATGTACAGTAAAAATAATAACGACCAAAAGAGCATAAAAAAATCTTTACAATTTTAACATCCGATGATGAACTACTCTTGACGTTTAACAATGGATATTCTATACGCCTCAGACGATTCTCCAAAACTTATCAAAAGCTCCAAATGACATGTCAGTTCCGTCAACATCTAATGTTGCTTTGCAGAAAAACTTTTTCAGGGAATGTATTTTCTACATAACCTACGTCTATGAGGATCAAACAAAACCTCTCAATATCTCTCAGTTGATTCGATACGCCAGAGCATGCTCTACGTATGAACAATTTCTGAAACGAGGCAAGCTATTAACAAAAAGTTGATGATACAAGGATATCAACAGTCTCGTTCAAATTCATCATTTCTCCAATTCTATTGTCGATACAATGACCTTGTGAGCAAATACAATATATGGTAAAGTCAAATAGTTACTGACATTTTTCATACAGATTTTCACACTGAATTGTCCACGAATTTTTCCGTCTGGCGATCACGACAATGATTACTCATCGGGTATGACTGATTGACTGGTGATGCTTACTCCTTCGTGACGCCTACTCCTTCCTCTGATGTGTTTGCTCTACTCAGAATTTGTATTGTTACAATGGATTTTTTAGCTTGATTAATGTTCGTTATCTTCATATTTTTAAATCTTTTGTGATGATTATTCTGTGTATTGTCCTTACGGTCCTATTTTCATAATATGCACAATATTTGTTTTGAAAGGTTTCAAAGGGTGACAGCTAATATCGACAGAAGCAAAAACCGAGAAAAATGTAATAAACAGAAAATTCTATGTTTTGAAGTGGGATTAGGAAGTTATATTACTGGTGAAAATTTAAAAAGAATCCTGTTTTACTCGTGAAATAACTTCCTTATTAAAATACAAAATCATGAAAATCCTCATTATATCTGCAGTTACCTCTCAGTATCCATTTATATATATAGTGAAGATACGAAAAAATAGTCCCACGTCATTATAATACAGGCGCACTAAGAAACCATTTTAATTCGTGAGTGATCAAAATTGAAACCGATTTGTGGATAATTTGAATGTAACTCGTATGTAATGAAGATTCAATGAAAGATATCAATTGTCGATATAAATTCGTTGATTAAGGTGACTCGCGAAAGCCATGGACATTGTTCCTCCAAGAACAATGATTATTTCACTGTAGATTGTGTATATGTCAATTTAAATTGAATATATATTTTAATTGCTATATTATAAACTCAAGTAAAACAGGTGATATTTACTGGACATATAAAACCTTTGGCATTTAACTAAGTAGCTCAATTTGAAACAGAAACAAAACACACATCAATCGTAAAACAAGTTTGAAGGAATGCAAAGTACATCAGTTTAACACAATAGGTGCACTTAATTGAATTTCAAAATTTGACAATTTTCCTCTTCGCGAAACCACATTATATTAAAACACTCCATGAATAATTCCCTCAAAAAGATCGTCCCGCACTTTTGATTATTTTGAAGCAACACTTAAAAAGGATATTTATCTACTGGGAACAGAAATAATTAGTCATAAAACGTGTTCTTGGTGAGGCAGGTGACCAGCTATTAATACAACGACTAGACTTTAGACTTAAAAGTCTGGCATAAAACCGCAAATATATATTTTTCCTTCAGTTTTCTTTGTAATGTTATATAGCTATTAGTGATGTTGCGAAAATAAATGGATTCTTAGCTTGTTGTTAATTACATTTTCAATTACACTTTTTTTAAAAATATGTTGTTTGGTCATTTATGTAAAATGATTGTTGTGCAAAGTGCATTTCTTTAAATCTTAATTAAATACAGATCATAACTTGTGATAAATTCATTTTATTTAGGATACATTTCATTTTAAACTGACAATGGTAGTTATGCAAACATCGTAAAAATAATCAAAATCAAAAGTATCTGTTATGATTATAACTACCAGATTTGAAGATAAAAGAATATAGCTAAATAAAATCATTGATCACAAAAGATAATGTATCACATTATCATATCGTTGTCTTGAATTGCAAATGGCGCTGGTTGTTTGCTCTATTATTGTTGCAGGCTGGGTCAATAGACTCTTTCATACATATTGCTCGATCTTCTTCACATTCAAGGGCACAACTTCTCAGTTCACTCGGTATATGTGCGAACTCTTTTCTGCAATCGTACTCACATGGAAACCATTCAGAGAGACAGTCCATGAGGCACATTGGGGGCATGGTGGGAGGAACAACAGCAGTGCACACCAAACTCAGGCACAAGGAGACAGCGAGTAACATACACACGTTCTTCTCCTAAAGGATGTGAAGGAAAACTAATGATAATACAAAGTTATTATTGGTTGAAAAAAAATGGAAATATTTAATTCGATTATTCGTCAAAAATGGTAAAAATTCTTGTAAAAAAAAGTAAAGATATCATATTACACATGATTTTTCTTCAGGAAAATGTATAATTTCAAAAAAAATAGTTACAGATTTTTTTCTTTCCATTTTTCCACCCATCATAGACTAAATGAATCATTAATTTGCTGGGTTTTTTTTTTTTTTTATACATTTGTAAGTTAATTTTTATAAAAATATTTGAATGCGAAAACAAATAGTAAAGCTGAATTCTAATAGATTAGGCTTTTCAGTTTTGATTTCAGCAATTATTTTTTTTTTCATTCTGCATTACCTTCAGTTTAGCGAATATTTCTTTAAGTTTTTTTTTCTTTTAAAAAATAGAATCATTTTTTTTCTTATTTACAGGTAATATATTACAAATTTTATTACAAATCATTTTACGCACAGTCTGGTGATGAAATTATTTTATTTCAAAATTCTATTTAAATTAATTAAGTACAAAAATAAGATAATTACTCACCATCTTGCCTGATGTTCGCTTGCAACACACAACTTCTGTGGTATCCCTGCAGTTTTATAGGGGTTGACCAATTTACATAAAACCTATTCGACAAATATTTAAATCTCTATCTCCGCAACATATTATTCGGTGTGACACTGATGTCATGCAAAGCAAAGTGTCATCACTTTTTTTTTCTAAAGCAAAGACTAAGTTCATTTCATTTAATTTAGATTTAGAAGAGTATGTCCTTCCTAACATGCTCTTAGAGACCCTCAGAAAAATTAGAAATTCGACTGTGTCGAGTTGAAATAATTTTTATAACTTTTCTATCTTCAAATTATTGTTATTTTTTTAATAAGTTATAAGGAAATTAAAAAAAATGACACTGTGTAAATTTTAATATATGTCGGTCTGATTTTATTTTGCATTTGTTCATAAAGAACTTAAACATTATCATATCAAGAGAGAAACGCTTATTAATAAAATTTTGACAGGACGCATGCTGCACTCATTTAATGAAATTATATTCAAATTATTTTCCTAAAATTTAATAAATGAGTATTGTTAAAAGTAAAGTTAAAATGAATACTTGACATTTGCAAGTAGCATATCCCTGTACTAGAGTACTGATGCAAATGCCAGAATTAATATGAATCATCAGAAAACTCATATTTTTACATAAGCAGATTGACAATATTTCTTCTTTTTTTAAACAAAATTGTTTAAAAAATCAACAAGGAAACAAGCATATAAAGTAAGACTTAAAAGATGGCCTTTAATTAAAAAAAAACTTCATTGTGAAAGAAATGAACAAAAGATTAAACTTGCAAAACATAAACAGATTACAAATTTGCACTCAAAAAATTATCTTCAAAAGTACGCAAAATATTTCAAGAAATAGCTGTTTGGGAAGATGATGTGTCTTTTTTGCTCATAGAAATTTGGATGTGTTTCTGTTTATAAATGATACTGATAAATAGACCTGCATGAATTCTCATAAAAAATTATTTTACATTAATGATAACTTACCATACACTTAATCCCTGTGTATGTTAAAGTGCATCTTTTGAAATTTTGCTTGTAGATAGAACTCGTTCTTATTGATGTCTGACTTAATTTTTTTCAGAATATCTTTATTTCATTGGTACCACATTTACATTAATTAATTTACGTTATCTAATATATACATGCAATAACGCATGATATAAGAAAAGTGCAAAATTCAAACTTTATACAAAGTTACATATTGGTAAGAACAAACTATTTCTAACATAACTTTTTGACTTTGACTTTCCTTATCATTTGTTCTTCCCCTGACATTGAGATTCATTTTTGAAGATTTTTTTTAAATCCAACTTTATATACTACGATACATATTCCATTGTTTCTTTTTTTTATTGACCTTTCAATAAATTTGACCTCACTATTCCTTCATGTTGCAGTTACCATAGTTTTGTATATAAAAAAAACTTATTCCTTCTTTTATCATATTTTACTACATGTGTATTATATCCGACCAAAGAAAAATGGTACGTTTATTTTCATGTTTCAATACAAATCAGGCCCTTAATTCAGGGATCCCTTTCAAATAGTGACAGAACAGTTTCTATTATTTTTTTCTCTCGGTGTTTGATAGACTATGTGCTTAACATGAAGGGGAACGCCTTTACAATCTGTCAGAATGCATAAAGAGTTTTAGAAATATAATAAAGAATCGCATTAGAAAATTCAAAGAGTGGTGTTAAACAAATGTGAAATCTCAAAACATTCAAAGAAATATTGAAAAGGTTTAAATCATAAAACTTTTCAAAACCAATAGCATCAAAATGTATGGCTATACAAAGTTGTATACAACTATTCCTCGCGATGAATGAAAGAGCGGGCCTTTTGACATTATTGACAACTGCTTCCGCAATGAAAATGAAACATACATTTTCATAACTTGTGATTGGAGATCTACAAAACTACTTTGTTAAAAATCATTCTGATTTTACAAACAAGTACTTTGAACTGGTATCAAAATGATGCTGGAGTTCTTCAATGGCAACATTTATATAGTGTTTGGAAATCAGGGCCATATTCTACAAAAGAACTTTCGACTGATACCATAATCTACTTTTGCAATTTCTTTGATTAATTTCGTTAATCAAATTGGGAATTTCATGAAAATTAGAAGAATTTAGTTGTTTTATTTTATATGACTACGTATGTACAACTTCTAAAACGAGGTAAATTATTGACAAACAAGTTGATGAAACAAGAGTATGAGCAGTCTCGTTTAAAGTCATCATTTCGTAAGTTCTATGTCGATACAATGACCTTGTCAGCAAATACAATTTATCATCGAGTCAAATGCTTACTTACTTTTTCATACTAATTGTTAGACCATTATTTACACATTGAATTGTCGACGGATTTTTCCGTTATTTCCTGATCATGACAAGGAGCAGACGGCGGGTGTGACCAGTCGGCAGGGGATGCTCACTCCTCCATGGCACCTGATCCCACCTCTGATGTTTTGGAGGTCCGTGTTTGCTCTGCTCCTATTTTGTAATGTTTAATGGACTTTTGAGCTTGAATACTGTTCGTTATCTCCATGTATTTCATGAATATGATCTCACAAAATTGGTAAGATGTTAGAACTGATATTTTTAGATTTTCTTATATTAGTCTTATATTAGTCGTAAGTTCCTTTTTAAAAAAAGTTTCTGATTTTCTGATTGACAATATCTATGTAGTTTTTTGAGGATCAAGTCTTCCAACAATCATCTGGAATTCTAATGGGCACATATAAGTGCCCTCTATTATTCGAGCTCTCTTACTTTCCTATGAAACTGAATTTATCCAAAAACTTCAACATAAGAAGATGAAAACTTCTGCTGTGGTTTCAATTCAACACTTAAATATATCGACGTTTGTGAACAAGGGTGATTTTAATTCATACTTACGTCAACTTGATATATCCCTATTGACTCGATATGAAGGATAAAAACAGAGTCTGCTTAATCTGAATTACAATATTCAGATTTTTTTTTTTAAAAATATTTCATTCATTTATGACGTTCATGACTTACCAACAACTAAGCTATACGATACACGGAATGACTTCAGATTTTCGAAATTCAACTATTCCTATTTATGTGCACTGTTTTGATTAATTACACAATCACCTTCAAATGGTGTTTACGTCTTCCAACCGATTCGACATTTATCAGCTGATGTAAGTTTCCAACTATTGTGTGTACAGTGAACATTACGCAATTATGACATTTGAAAACAAGCATTCTGAGAGTATTGCATTAGCAATACTAGTTCCCTACCGGCAAGTGTAATCTGGTTCCCGTTAAGAATTGAAAATCCATAATTCCGTCAAAAATCATTGAAGCGGAACGAAATGCAAACTTGATCTATAAGTAATCAAGGTAAAGTCACATACCAAAAATCAGCTCAATATCTCCAAGCGTTTAGAAAAAAAATCGCGGAAAACCCTTAAAAATTGAAAAGGACATAATTCCGTCAAAAATCAATGAAGCGGAACGAAATGCAAACTTGATCTGTAACTCATCAAGATACACTCGCATACCAAAAATCAGCTCAATATCTGCAAGCGTTTAGGAAAAAAGTGCGGAAAACCAAGTGGGACAGACTGACAGACAGACAGAGGAACAGACAGACAGACAGAAAGACAGACAGAAAGACAGACGGACGGACAGACTCAGAGGAAGCCTATAGTCCCCTCCGGTTTCACCGGTAGGGGACTAATAAAAACTATTGTCTGGTCGGTGTTTTGTGTTTTGTTTTTAAATATTGTTTTTAGTCCCCTACCGGTGAAACCGGAGGGGACTATAGGTTTCCTCGGAGTCTGTCCGTCCGTCCGTCTGTCTGTCTGTCTGTCTGTCCGTCCGTCCGTCTGTCGGTCTGTCCCTCTGTCTGTCTGTCAGTCTGTCCCACTTGGTTTTCCGCAGTTTTTTTTTCTAAACGCTTACAGATATTGAGCTGATTTTTGGTATGTGAGTGTATATTGATAAGTTACAGATCAAGTTTGAATTTAGTTCCGCTTCATTGATTTTTTAGGAAATTACGGGCCTTTTAATTTTCAAGGGTTTTCCACACTTTTTTTCTAAACGCTTGCAGATATTGAGCTGATTTTTGGTATGTAAGTGTATCTAGATGAGTTACAAATTAAGTTTATGCTACGTTCCGCTTCAATGATTTTTTTGACGGAATAATAACATTTTAAATTTTTGATGGGAACCAGATTACACTTACAGGTAGGGGACTAGTATTGCTAATGCAATACTCTCAGAATGCTTGTTGTTTCTTGTAATTTTGTTTATTTGGGGTTTATTTTGGACTGACATATTTCTCAGTAATCCTTAAGTCATAATGTTATACCCTTGAAACGGAGTAATTCGTTTATCTGATCGATAATCAGGGTTTACAGCAGAGACCTATTCAACAGCGCTCGCGCTCGCGAACATTTCTGTTGGAGGGATAAGAAATTTTGGCTCGCGAACGTTCGCTCTGTTGAACAGGCCTCAGGTGTTACTGGTACACAGAGGATGCTTGCTCCTCCTAAATACCTTATTCTACATCAGGTGTTTCCAGAGATCCGTGTTTTTGCTCTATCCATCTTTACTGGATTTATGAAATTGATCAGTCTTCGATATCTTCACCTTTTTAAGCAGATCCCCAAACATTTAATCAATTTTGATTTCCTGACTATTTTTCTAATCGTGCTCAAATTATCTAATTGCATTACTTTGATTTTCTCCTGTATTTGCTTCACCTGACTATCTCAAATCAATGGCTGCAATAAAATTTTAACAACATAGAGCTGTTTACTAATAATTGCAAAAACTTCAAATATCTTTTCTAGCTTACAAGAGGACCTTCAATGCATTTAAGCTTCAATTGTTTTACAGAAAATGATGATGCATGACTTCATTCAGGAACATTTTTTTTTGTTAAAAATTCAAATCTTTACTGTAAGTTTTTTTCTGTACGATGAATATTATGAGCAAATATAAGAGTGCAAAAACAACGGTCTAATGACCTTCAATTATTA